CCAACTTCGTCTGGCTACAAGATTTCTTATTTTTCTGATAGGCCCCTATCCGTTTCACCTATGCAAGAAGGAAGAAGGGCAATGACCCCAATGGTTCTCCCAAGTCAGTTGAGTGAGTTAGAGAGGGGTAAAAGTGTAATAATCTATTGTAGGAAATGCAAATAAATGTGGAGGGAAAAGGGGTGGGGAGGGCATTCGGGTACTGACTTTCAGTTAGAAAGAGAGGGAGAGAGACAGGGCCTCTCTAATAGCCATGAGCTTGTATTCATTCCAGTTACTTCATCTGATTCCATTAATAAACTACTTCATTTTTCTATAATTCTATGTGATAGCTACAGTTCAGTATTCCAGGGAGTTGTACCATTTTCTCCCCTTTTCTTTAAGGTAACAGTGGTATGAGTGTAGAGTTAATTCTTTTGAATGCAGGTCTTGGATTTGTGACATCTTTAGTTTTTGTATTTCTCGTTGGTGTCTTCGTTTCATCATGGCTGGGTGCTACTGTTTTCTGGATCGGAGAGTGGATTATAAAGAAATTGCCGTTCGTTAAGCATCTATACTCAGCCTCCAAGCAAATCAGTTCTGCAATTTCTCCAGGTAAAGAATAGCCGTTTATCCATGTTTTTATCCAACTTCAATTATTTGAAGCGATTCAAAATGCAAATCCTCTGATATTGATTATTTGTGGACAAAATGGGCATTTGTCTAAACTCCCCTGTCCCAGAAAAACAAAGGAAAAGAAGAATGACAAGGAAAATAGTCTTTCTTGAGTCCAAAATGGAACTCACTTATGGTCCTTGCTACATTTATCCTTTTTTCTTTCTATCACGGAAACAAAATATGCCTCAAAGGACTGAAATCTAGTAAATTGATTGTTCATGAACTCGGAAGGTGATATTGATTGTGAATAATTATTCTTACATGTTATGCTATATTATGTTTATTCTGTAAACACAATGTTTTTAAAAATTGATCTGGTCATCGACCGAGAAAAGGTAAAGAGTATGTGGGGTAGAACTGGTAGTAATAAATGTACTATAAAAAGTTATTACCATAAATTACTATAAAACAAGTTATTTAAATAATCAAAATCAATTGATAAGCAAACTTACCATTAATTGAAAATGAGAAGTTGGCCTTAATTAGGGTCAATAATGAGAACATCTAAATGTGGGGCATTAGGCAACTAATTAGGAAAAGGAAGTCATGGAAGAAAGGACCAAATGAAGTGGTAGCCTCTGGCATGGAGACCCAAGCCACTCCAGTCCCAAAAGTTCATATGCTCAGCACAGAACTTAGAAAGAGGAGAAGGCCCGTGATGACACTGGCGAAAGAAGAGTAAACATAGTGACGAACACCCAAATCGATGAATCTCAAACCCAACTCCTGAATTCCATGGCTCATCAATGCTTCTCCTATCCTCCCCTCTCCTCAATCGAATTTTAATTCATTGTACAACAAAAGTTAATTTTTTTTTTTTTTTTGAAAATCAACCCTGGGAATTCGGAAAAACTGTGACCGGTTCACCAGGTTCCGGATGACCAGTTAAAATGCATGGTTTCACAATTTTGCTGCCGATTTCTTAATACATGATTTATAAAGGCTGCTTGATCTGGTTCCGAAACTGGTTCCCAGTCGAACCGACAAGTTAGGGTCGATTTTGATGACATTAGTAAAACGACATAAAAACATTTTTTGGTTGTTTCTACTGGCAAGTGTTGGGTTTATTCAAAATTGTCTCTTCCACGCTAAAAGTAAGTAGAGAATACTTCTTCTTATAATATGAATATCGATAATGCCTCTACTAGGGTTTCATTTTTTAGACTAAAATGTCATTTTTTAAAAAGTGGTGGATAAGTGAATAGTCATTGTGGATCTCATGAAATATATGGTTAAAATTTAAGTTTGAGTTTGAAAAGTAACTTTTTAGTAAAAAGAAATGAAATTGAAACAAAAAGTAGCATCTATCAGAGTTTCATTTTTTTATTAAAAATTCCTTTTCAGAAGTGAACGATGGATTTGTGGTAGTACTTGTGGGACCTATAGAATGTGTGGTTAAAACTAAAATTTGACTTTGAAAAGTAACTTTTTAGTGAAAAAATAAAATAAAATGAAACCCAAACTGAAAGAACAAACTTCTGGTTTATGATAATTAATACATGTTGGTAACATTGCTGAATTGACTGGAGAAATGGATATACATTCAATTAGGAGCCTTTATAAACCAACAAGGATTTACATTCATAACTGGTTTTTTTTTTTTTTTGATAACTCAAGTTCACTTGACTAATCCTGAGAAGTGGTGGCTTTCCTCGCCACCCAGGTAAATCCGGACGTACAACTTACACACTTGGGCCGGACATTCAGGATGCGATTTTCCTCCCTGTAGACCTCTCTTTACGACATGCGAATAGGACCTTAGGAGGGACGACAAAACGCACCATAATTTTGTTTTCACAGGACAACTGCCTTCTAGCTGCCGCGGGGATTCGAACCTTCGATACTCCGTATAGAATCCTCCTGCTTTACAACTGCGCTATGCCCGTGGGGGCATTCATATCTGCTTCTTGGTACTACCATATCATGTCAAATAATTTAATTTAAATGCTGCAATCCAGAAAATAAGCTTTGATAAACATCCTCCATCGCTTACATACATTCAAGGATGGCAACTTTACTTTCTATAGAAAATATTACCATTTGCTATTTCATAATGAAAAATAAGAAAAATGATATTGAATGGACAGTAAGGAATGAAAACAGTATTGAATACTAACTTTATTCTATAGGTCTTAAGAAATGCTTCTTTTGATTTTTTTTACTTTTGTTTGTCTTCTAAATGGTTATATGAATTTGGTCTGTTTTATATTATTTGCAGACCAAAATACTACTGCATTTAAGGAAGTAGCAATTATACGCCATCCACGAGTAGGGGAATATGCATTTGGATTTATCACTTCATCTGTCCTGCTACAGGTACTTATTGTGATTTTAATTTACCAAAGGTCTTATATCCTTCGAGCTAGCATATTTTTATTTTTTTATTTTTGAAGATACTAGTTGTCTCGTCTTTAGATGTCATTGTTAGATCTAAGTCTATACATGCCAATATGTTTACCAAAAAAATCAGTCAACTGTGTTTCGATGTACTTTTATTGCTTTCCACATTCCCTAACAAGTTGTTAATTTTCTGAGTCATCTATTCAAAGCTCTGCACGTTGTCTTTCGTTTTAGAGATTAGAATAATGGGCCTCTATATTTCTATAGGACATTAGATTGGAGCGGTAGAATACTGTAGCAATAATTGAGTTTGATCGTGATCATGCTTTATCAACACACCTGACCCTCTTTCTCTTCTTCCTTTTGTTTTGTGAAAATTCATTCATCTTTCAAAATGATATCAGTGCTTGTGAGATTTTATGTGGATTGTAGAACTTCTCTTAAATGCAGAACAAGTTAATAACCTGGTTTTCCCATGAAAATATTTGACGTGGACCTTAGCAAGTAACAGGGATTGTACACAGTTTAAGCCTAACCGTGTGGATATCTGTCTGTAAGAGTTTAATGTGGCAGCATATCCATCAGGTGTTTAAATTTCCATGATTTATGTGTCACGGTATCTCTCTATTTATTTTTCCTTTCTTTAAGCAGACTGATAATGGAGATGAAGAACTATGCAGCGTGTTCGTCCCAACGAATCACTTATATATTGGGGATATATTGTTGGTTAATTCCAAGGATATAATAAGACCTGAGCTGTCTATTCGTGAAGGAATAGGTATGATACTTGTTTGTGCATTGCTCTTTTCATTTGCACTACACTCAATTTTGCGTAGTGAAACCTTCTGGTCAGTCCACGAGGACAGTAGTATAGACACCGTTTCTGGTGTCACATGAAGGCGGCAACTATAATGCTGTATTAATAATATGACTTAGTGCCAATGTTTAGGCACACAAACTCAAGACAGGATTTGAATTATTAGTTAATATATAAACAACGATATGTATTTCGGTTAATGTTAATGTTCCTTGTTATCGTTTCTTATATTTGAGCAAAAATGCAGAGATCATTGTTTCTGGGGGCATGACAATGCCACAACGGATTTCACCTGTTGAAAGGGTTGCTCGACGAGGTGAAAGAATTCCGCTCAACAGAATGCCATAGAAATTCCGAAATCTGATGTCAGGTAACTGTCGAAGTCATGGTGAAAACAGGAAAATTTGATGTTCAGTCTATGAAGTCTCAGATCATATTTGGCTAAGCTTAAAATTTTAAATTGTATGTATGTAATTTTTTTAACCGATCAAATTTGAAAATAAGTTTCGTACTTTGACACTAAGGAGCAACACCCAAAAGAAGTGACTTTTCTTGCTTAAAAAGGCAGAAAAAGTTAACTTGTTCGGCATCGTGGTGCGCCCATCCCACTGAAGATTTAGTCCCACTCATGCCACCCAGCCTCACCTCAACTCCAGACCATTTCATTCCATTTACATTTCTCTCCACCCTTCTTCTACTTATCTCTCCTCTATCATCGATGCTCTGGCTAGAAAGAGAACTGGTATCGTTTGGCGCCTAGTATGATTGTGGAATGGAGGCATAAACCCATAAATGGTGCCAAATTGCGAATGTACGCGACGGTGAAATGACGATATGAGCAATTGCAGCGTCAAACTGACGATCTAAACAACCGCGGCGACTAACTGGCAATCTAAGGGCCTGCGATGGGGAGCTCTAGATCTAAGCACCTATGGTGGGGAACTCGCGATCTGAGCAACTGTAGCGACGACTTGTTGATATAAGCGCTTACTGTGGCAAATTGTACCCAGATTGCTAGAAACTGCAATCTTGTTCTGATTTTGTGGTTTCCAGTGTTTTTTGGTGGATTTAGGCTTTATCGTTTCCGATTGATATGTTGGAGATTCCTTTAGTTGTGGTGGTGCGATTGGTATATGCAGCAATGGTGGTGGCGTGGCATAGTTAAGTGTGCGATGGTGATCATGAATCACTATTTATTCACGTCACAGATTAATATTCACTCGTCACAAATTAATGTTAACAGGTCACTGTGTGTAGATCACTTATCAATATCCACAGGTTACAAGTCATTGTATGAAGGTCATAGATCAATATCAATATGTCACAGATCAATTAAAATTGGTCACAATCACTTATTTATGTTCATTGGTCACATATCATATTGTATAGGTCATAAATCAATATCAACAAATCACATATAAATATTAGTTGGGCACATATAAGATGCAACATATCTTTGTGTACTGATAACATGACACAAATTCAAATTTACATGCAATAGGTTCACGGATCATTTTGCGTAGGTAACAGACCAATGTCTATTGGTTACACATTAAAGATAATTAGTCACAGGACATTGAATCAATATCACAAGTAACTAATCAATGTCAAAAGGTCACAAATTAAGAATTAATATCAAGCGATTGATCAACATCGCATGTAACAGTTTACATGTAAGCACCCAAAAATCGCTCACAGAGGGCAATAAGAGCAGCTTGAAAATAGTAAATTTATCAGCACATTATCCTCAAGTGGTGGTGATGGCAATGGTGTGGGAGTGGTGGTTTGTGGTGATGGGTGGTGTTTGCAAGAAGTTGTGTGGCGCTCAGATCAAATCCGTGGGTGTTGCGAGTTTGGTAGGCATGAGGTGGGGTGGGTTAAGTTAATTTGATAATGATATTATTTAAAATTGAAATAGCACTCAAGTTTTGAAATTTTAAACTTTTTTTCTTAATATTGAATTGACCTAAACTTAAGATTTGATATATGATTTTTTTTTCCTAGTTGAAATAGTGAACATTTTTAGAGTGTATAAATTAATTTACTTCTATATTTAAAGAAGTTCTCTATTAAGCGTAACATGCTTTTTATAAATAAAGTTTCTATGTTCTTACAAAATTTGAGAGGTAGTTAGATTTGATAGATTTTTAAAAAGTTGAAACTGATTAAAAAAAAAAAAACACTTCATGTTTGGTCCCAATATTTAAAAATAAATTTTCTCAGTAAAATAATTTTATACATGGATGTATAACTTTTTTTTATATTTTTTAATCACATGTTTTGGAAAAAAAAATACTTTTGACAATTCTATTTATTAATAAATAAATAAAACTCTACCAAATATGGGCTAAGTTTTGATCGCATTGAAGGGATTTTTTTGCTATATTTTCTGTATCAAATCAATTTTTTTTTTTTAAAGTAAATGAAAAACTCCATCAAAGTGATGATTGCATATTTTTAAGAAAGTCAAGTAATAAGTGTATTTTATACACTTATTTGGACCTAAAAATATAGATATTTAATAATTCTTTGAAGCCATTATAGCCTTTCGTTTATTAGGTACAACTCAATGATTGGAATTTTAATTGAAAGAAACAAGTGAAAAACAGCGAAAAATGTGTAAGTACAAAGTTTGCAGACCAAATTACCGATATCCAATGGTTAATTTGGATCATAAGAGATACTTTGAAGACTATTAGGAGTCAATTGAATTCAATTAGAAGTAAAAAATGAATGAAATATGATTAGAATGTTACGATAAAATCGATTTCTAATCGCACAAGATATCTGCTAGATTTTTAGTTTGGAATTTTTGGCACAGTAAATATTTGAATTGAAAAAATTTCTACTTCTAACAAAATTGTAGCCCTTTGAGTTAGCTTTTCAACACACTTATAATTAACTCAATCGGATATCGAGAGACAAAACTATGACTAAAATACTAACTTTTGTGCAAAGACAAAATCCACGCGTGAAGGTAACTTTTCGTATTCGATTTGAATTCTTTTGAAACCAATTTGTACGTGATTTTCAATCAATTTTCGACTCCTAAAAATATCTAATAGCAGAATACATATAGAGACATCTCCTACATCTCTCATATACATCTCATACTTCAATATTAATCAATTATTACCCTCAAAGGAGATATCAATCATAGTTTTTGTAAGAGGATTGAATGGGATTTGCAAGAATTCAATCAAGTAAAGATTCAAACTTGATTTTTGGACAAAAAAAGTGTTAAGTTAGTTTTATGCACTAGTAGGATGAAATGAACACTTGTTATGATATTTTTAGTTTTTAATTAGTTATTTTGACTTTAATTTGATTTGATTTGTGAATGTTTATTATCGTTTTTATCGTTCTTTTCAATTGTTTGATCACCAATTGAGCTGTTAGTGGATTTTATTTTTATCGAGAGAGACAACAAAATTTAATCACAATATAATAAACATTGTAAAGTTCGATAGAAGATAGAGATGTACCTTTATATTTTATATGGTTTCAATAGGGATTCTAACACTTGTTAATGCATTTATTATGTTGAATTTGTATCTTTCATCGAGAGATAAAAGGGTTATATGAGGATAATAGATTTGATTGTTGTCAGGCGAGACTTTCAATTAAATTAAGGACATTAACCAACATGGATGATTTCAAATTATCACTTTAATTGTTACAATAAAAATGGAATAACAAGGTGGATTTGACATCGTAACAATGTATCTCACATATCAGAAAAACAAATTCACTTGCTTTCACTAATTTAAATGATAGTTTAGGTATTAGTATAGAAAAATCATAAAACTTGTTTGCTAATCGATTAAAGTTGCAATTAATTTTAACTCGATCAAACACATAGTTCTCGTGAGTTTGACACTCTATTTACTATTTTATTACTTGTTTATTATCTCATCCACTTGCGAGAAGTCAAACGATTAGTCAATTTCAACTTTCTAAAAATATTTGCTATATTTGCTTCTATGTTCTTAAATCGATTTTGAGTGTTTAATCATATTGGGAAAAAAAATTTGTGTACGTAAATAATTTTACTAGCTTTCATTTGTTTAATATTGAAGTAAATTTCAAAATTAATAAGAAGGTCACTATCTACTTGTTGGATTTTATCCAAAAAGCACGCATTTAATACACAATGCTGAATGAGACTCTATATATCAAACACAATTTTAACTTCTTTTTATATATATAATTTGAGATTCTCATTCTTTAAAACTCATTTTCCTCAAAAACTAGTTTTAAAACATATATTTTCCCGATAAGATAATTTTGTGCGTACATTCAAATATTTTTATAACTACATATTCTCCAAAACAATCACTATTTTACCAAAAATTAAATAAATAATAATAATAAATTCTCAAAATTTGGGGGTCAAACAAGGTCACAATCCTCCCTAAAAGAAGAAATTCTTTTTCCTTCAATCATCTTGGAACCATTCAGTTGGCAGTTAGATTTGATACAGCGAATATAGCAAACATCCCTCCTAAGCTATCAAAAACTTAGCCCAAACATGGACTTGTTTTTTAACAAAGTAAGTTTCGACTTTCTAAAAATGTAACATTTAAACCCAACCTAGTATGCTTAATACACTGGAAGTAATGCTATTTACAGTCATCCTACGTGGCATACATGTGACGATTAGTAATTTAATATATTAATGTGAATTTTTTTATTACTTTATGCATCAAATCACTAACCGTCATATATATGTCACATAAAACAACGACGAAGTAATTGCAAATAACATTATTCAATGAATTGGTGAAATAGTCTAACCCTGTGTTCTCAGTGCACGACTGCTAGACCAAATATCACTCCCAAATTTATGTGAACCACAAAGACCAGTCAGATCAATAACACAATGAGCACTGATGCGGCAGTAGAATATCTCATATTCCTCTATACTGGAAAACCAGATCATGGAAGAATGATGCAACAAGATTTTGACAGAATATATAATGCTAAATTGATCAATAACCTTAAGTAGGCTTGAGAATGTAAAAATGCATATAAATATAATCTAAACAGCCTGTAAATCTCGTGTAGGATTTATTAATTTAAATTTTAATGATTAGAAACCTTGCTATTTACACAAAAATATTGGAAAAATCCTTCCTTCCTTCTGAATATCTGATCTCTTCTAATTAATTTATCTAAGTAAACCAAGAGAAACTAAAATAAAATTTCAGCCCGGTACCCTGGACTCTGCCGACTTCTCACTAGACTTCTTCAAGCTACCCAAAATATTATCAATCGATCTGTCTTTATCATTTCTAGGTAGTTCTGAGACGAATGAATAGCTCTTCGTAGATCTCTGCCTCCGTGCACGGTTTACCATTGCAGTTCCATTCTTGGTGCCAAGCCCAGCAGATGCAGATGGCTTTGAACTATCTTTGGTGATATTCTCTGGTGCATCCTTTCTACCATTATCGCCCTTACTGCTGTACCATGAGTCAAGAATCTGCAATAAAGAGCTATCTTCTGCATCCATTCTAGACTTATCTCCACCGTCTGATTTGGAGGAGGACATCTCATCTCCTGAATCAGAAAAATCATCATCAGCTAGAGGTTCATAATCATGAAGTGTTGGCCTCACTGTTTCGTCCTTTGCAGGGCCCGAATTAGCAATTGGGCCTAGTTCCTCCCAAGGAGAGTTGATTTCGTCATCTTTCCTCGATGTTTCTGACAATTGACTGCCCAAATTGGCTACTGTACCAACATTACTTTCTTGAACAAGCAAATCAGTAGATTTTAGGTCGAGGTTCTTTGAGATTTCACCAGCAGGAATGATATAATTAGACTCTATTCTCACCCCGGGTATGATCTGTAAAAGGGTTGCTAACTTTTGGTAACCAAGCTTCTGTAAGTCAAGAGAGTAGCCATATTTATCGAGAAATAGTTTCCTAAAAGCTCCCATGTTAAATCCTTCTGGATATTCCTTTATGATATGATCCACAAGCTTCTGACAGTCGGCTAGTATCTCACTTCTTGATTTGCCGGAGGTACTCTGGCGTACAGGTTCACGGATATTCCGGTGCTTTTCGTCTACAAGTTCTTGTAGGTTATGTGAAGCTGATGGTGGGTCCCCCG